GAGATGTTACAACTCTCTTCACTTGTATACCAGTCACTGAAGCAGTGGAGGTAGTTCGTAAGAGATTACAGGATGACCCCAACCTCAACAGGACCACTCTCAGCACCCACCACGTGTGTTTGCTTTTGGAACTGTGTCTTAATTCCACCTACTTCACATACAAGAGTCAGTACTACAGGCAGAAACACGGGTGTGCCATGGGTTCCCCTGTTTTACCCATTGTGGCCAACTTGTACATGGAAGAAGTGGAAAAGAGGGCTTTGTTATGTTTCCATACGGATCAATAAATTGATGGACCTTTTTCACTGTTTTTGTAGGAAAATGTAAAGAAATGAGTGTTTGTTTGAGACTTCTGCACGGTACTGCGGTCTGTGACAGCGTGGGTTCTTCGACATACGTGTGCGTGTACTTCATTTGTTGCTTGACAGTTAAACATCTCTGGACTCTCTGATCATGTTAAGACGGTGGACAGTGGGAGACTCTGTAGACGGGCTGCAGACCGCCCATCCAAGCCGACATTAGAAACAGTACTCGTGTTTTGTGTGCCGGTAAGTGTAAGCTAGTCAGTTAAACAGGAAGAGGCTGGAGTTGATTGTTAGTCTGCCATTTGCACGCAAACCCACTGCATGTGGAGCTCATAATGCAAGTGAAATAGACCATATAGAGACCACAAAACAGCAAAAAAAAAAGTCAAACGGAGAGACAGCAGGAACCACAGGAGCGATCAAAGCAACGTGTTAGCTGCAGACACAGGTTAGGAAAACCCAAGAAATACAAAACCAGAGAGTACACTTTGTAAAGACAGTTGTCTCACTGCCACGTGGACATTGAGGTTATACCAGTTTTAATAAATGGGCCCATTAAGGCCGATCAAATGGGACCAGACTGACAAAGACTAAAGTGAAAGTAATTTTCTCTATATATTATAATATTTTATTTTAAATTTACAAGTAAGAAATTTCATTACTTCTTTACTCCCAAAACACGAACAGCACATCAGACACAAAAAAACCCTTAGAAGCCTCAACTTCTGGAATAACACTCTGTGATCAACCCGTAAACTATGAATTGAAGAAAAGAGTACAGAGAAGGCTGAGCTCACACTGTGGAGACCATTTATCTGAATTTCTGTCTCCTGCACTACAACCTGTTGTTTTCTTTTTCAAACCAACTGTTTTTGGTATAAACCAACTATTTGTAAACATGTTATAATAAAAAATAATAACAATACTAATAATACAATATAAGCACGTGAGAATACAAATGTCAGTTCCAATGAATGTGCTCAGCTCGAATCTTTCTGAATCAAAGCATCATGAGCTTAAATGCAAATTCATTAAATTCATTCATTAAAAATGATTACATTACATGCACTCTTTAAATCTGCAGTTCATCAAATACCACTGAGAAATCTAACTTCTCTTTCTCCATCTCTGAGTCAAGGTATCTCACACTCTTTTGTCCCCCTGTGAAATACAGCAGCTGGACCTTTAGCTTGCGACACACTGCAAACACACAAACTGCACACAGACAGTTTGTGCAGTAAAAAGTAAAAGTAGAATTTATAACGTTTATACCCCCGAGTATAAACGTTATAAATATACTTTTGAGCCTAAAATAATGAGCTTGATTTAAAAATGTAAAGAGTAGAAAGTTGGGTCATTTATGTAAACATGTAGTGAGTGAAAGTAAAAGGTCAGAAAAATAAATATTCTTTCTTTATTTTTTTTCTTTATTTTTTTCTTTAATAAAGAAAAAAAGAAAAAAGAAATAAATATTCACATAAAGATACCTAAAAATACAGCTTAAATGTGGTACTTTGTTTCTTCACACCTGTGAATTTGCGTAAATGTTATGCAGACGAAGAGTTGTATGACGTGCAAAATGTCACCAAGCCAAGCGAGAGACTTGACACATTTTGATACCCACACCTCTAACCAAGGTCAATCTACTGATCTCCACCTGTTTGAGCACATTTGTCATTTGCTGAACGCAGAACGATTTATGGCCAAACTGCTGCAGGCAACTTCATTTTAAGTGTGCTGTTTGTGTGCACAGAGGGAATTACGAAGACTGAAATTTGTACTCTCCAAAACATTTAGAGGCGGCGGCTGTGAGGTCATCTACTAATGGGAAGATCCGAGGTTTGATTCCTGGCTGCTCCAGTCTGCATACCAAAGAACCCCTAGTTACTCTCATTCACTCTCCAATGAACACATGAAAGAGTCCATCGGAGAGTGAACGTTAAATAGAAAGCACTTAAGTAGAAAAAGGATGCAACAAAAGTGCTTGTGTGCATGAGGTATGTGTATAAAGGTGCTTTGAGTGCTCGAGTAGAAAATTGCTATGTAACAGCCAGTCCATTCGCCTTACATATGGAAACTTTAATGTTTCTTAGCAGCTTGTGTGACGCAGCCTTGCTGGTAAGTTCAGACAATGATAAATGTTTCTGTGCTGTTGCTGGATGCTCAAATGTTCAAAAGTTCGGTCATCAGGTGAAAAAGCACTTCATATCGACTGATTGACCCTCGCATTAACTCTTTATTTCCAAGCAAGCCATTATAAAAGGCAGAAAAATAAAACAGCATTTCTGATCAAATCACTGATCAGTGTCCACGTCATGCCAGCCGGTGGTTTTGTGAGAGTTTTAAGAGTGAAGCAGAAGGAAGCAAATCTCTTCATCGTGCTTGTTGTCCACAACATCTTGTTTTTAATTTAGAAAACACCGTTTCACCCCAAGTCGGGTAACCCGACGGAGTGAACAATCAGAGATCTGGACACAAGAGGACTACGCAGACTTTAGACTCCCCTCCCCAGCTCTTGAATCTTGAATTCATTATCCTGTTGTCGGTTTCCTGATTGTGTTTGCATGACCTGCTTTGTGTGAGCAGTTTCTGAACAGGCTGCACATATTTATAGTATTTTTTTAATTAGCCGTATTTAACTCCCTATCGCCCCCTCAGGGTTGCTCAGGTGCGCTAATCAGCACAGTCGGTGCCTATTTTTAAGAACTCTCCTCTGTCAACACAATTATTTTCCAAATTTGCCTCTTGGGACCTGACAATAGCTTCTGACGACTAAAGTCAACACTTAACTCCTCGCAGGGACAATTCCCAGAAATGATGACTTGAGTGAAGCCGAAAACAAACAACCGGCTTCTGCTTACAGTCAAAGTAAACAGCTCCACACTTTATGTGACATATCCCACTTTTCTAATTTGCATTTGAACACAACTTCATATTTACAGCTTCAAATGGACACAGAAGTCTTTTTTTCCCCCCCTAAACTCAATTACTGCCAAACAGATGCAGACAGCTGGGACCGTTTTCTGGACGCTCCTAAATCCTGCCCAAGTTGCCTTGGAAACGGAGCATCTGTTTCTAGAACAGTTAATCCAGGCGACGTCGGATTTCAGGAACGAGGTGCAATAAATATGTATGCAGACAGTTTCCAGTGAGGCCAAGCAAAGGGAGCACAGGGTGGCATTTTCATCACCTGTGCTGACTGCGTAATATCAAGTCAAATCCAGAGAGTTTAAAAGTTTAAACAAAATAAAACTTCAATTCAATATTCAAAGGGAACATTTTTAAATATTTTTTTTATTCAAAATACAGCTGCAGGAAAGAAGAAATGGAAACAATTTAGCAATTTTAACCAAGAGGGGAGCATGGAGCAAGTGAGCCTTCCAGTCTGATGTGTGTAGTAGTTCCTTTGGTTTTTTTCTAGCTAAAAACTTTAAGGCAAAGAGTATATTAATGGAGGCGTATGCATCTCTTACTGATTAAAACAGAATCCCTGCTTTCATTAAATGAAAGGTTAAAAATATTTTGGCCTCAGTGCCGTCGATCTGACTGTGGCGTCAGACGGACGCCTGTTTCGGGAACCTTTTTATTTTAACACAGCAAAAACCACAAGGTTTCGACAGCACACTTGCTGCGTTGTTCAGTCTGAATGCAACGTTCTGCATTGTGGTTGACTGCTTCCCACCCTAACTGATGGCAGTTAAAGTAAACCACCGCCCGCAGATACATTATGGCCTCCATTAACAGGTGTAGGTGTGGGCGCGAATAAACCGCTTCAACTAAAAACAAAATGTTTTTTAAAAAAAATTGTAATTTATTCATTCAATTCAATTCATTAAACATTTTACATAAAGAGTGAGAGTTGAAGTTTTGAAGTTTCACTTTGTTTTTCACACAAGCAGAAACCAGACAGCAGAGTGATAGTAAAATATGCTCTGGAGATGTTTATGAGCGAACATCATCTTTAGATTCATATCACCTTTTTTGAAATATGCAGTCAAAGTGCAAAAGTCTGCTGCTGGTAGGATTTTCCATTAACTCGTAACTCGTTTCTTACTTGCTGGCCATATTTATACATCCACATTATACATCCAGGGAAATTTGTTGTTGTTGTTTGTTTGTTTTTAAACGAGCAAATAAGTTTTTTCCCCATATATGTCAAATTGTATCAGACAATGCTGAGTCACTGCTACAGCTCTTTAAAACTTGCACCAGGTTTGGCTTGATTGCCAATCTTTGTGATGGTATGACACTGTTGTATCTGTTGAAGTGAAATACATGAATTACTATGTGCCGCTATGCCTCAGTCCCACAGATATGTACTGAACAGGGGGCACACAAAGGGTTTACAAACCACCTGACTTGAGTATCTTTAGTATGGCGCGAAAAACCCACGCAAGCACTTTGGAGAAATGCTAAGCAGGGGAAACAAACCTTTCAGTACTTCAAAGGGCTGGCTTGAGGTTTCCTCACATCTTGTTTCCCTTTTACACAAACTCTCAAGTTCTTCACCAGCAACAGAGTGCAGTCTTTATTCCGATTTTAAAAAACCCAAACAAAAAACAAATAACACACATTTTTACAAATGTGAGTCAAATCTCTTTTTTTTCCCAGCGCAAAAGTAGAGAAGAAGCGTCACAGGTCTGTTCTATTAGCTATTTCACACATCATTGTCATCACCCAAATGAATCACTTCCATTTTCACAGATAAGTCAGTCAGTTTTAATAACCATGGCTCGTTTATTTAAGCCTCACGTTTCACAGTAGGACAATGAGAATGTGGTCTTGTCATTTGCACCACTACTGAGTTTGAATTGTGGCGATGTGTAAACATTGAAGACCTTTTGAAACACTGTGCTGTGAATGAGAATCTATTGTTTGAACTCTAAACACACTGATCTCCCACCCACAGTGACACAAATCGCCTGGTCTCGAATACAACACTTCAACGTGACTGTCCGACTGAAAGGACCGAGGTAATATTCTCAGCAGTACCCTCATGTGCTCATGATCTACAGTGTGACACATTCGCACTCACAGTCTGATGATACGCACAAAGTGTTGAGTAATACTAGGAAAAGGCTGCTTTGCAGGGGTAGGTGTTGAAATAGTAGGGTTTACAAAGCAGAGCCATTTTCACAGCGGTGCAGTACAGATCCCCTAAGAATCCGGAGACCTGCTGCTTCACCTGAGGGTGCGTTGCTGCCTTCCAAACGGCGTGAATGTCTTCTATGTGTCCATGTGATGTCATCATCTTTGCGTAGATACATGGGTGATACGGCGCCTTGCCCTCTCCTGAGAAATAAGTGTGCTCCTGTGGTGACACACCCACGGTGTTGGCGCAGATGCCCATGAACACATCGTCTATGTAAATGGATGCGTTCAGCGTCAGCGTGGCGTGGTAGATTTTCTCCGCGACATCACTGGAGACAACATACGCAGCTCCAGCTGTGTAGTCCGGGTAGGTCACCCAGGGGTACATCTCATAGGAAACGTAGTATTTGCTCTCCTTGTTGCGGATGGGCGGCGCGCCTCTGTGCACTCGACCAATCCAGAAGTCTTTAACACCTCTGCTACTCACGTCCTGCAGGTAGCTCACCAGGTTGGGCATGTGGACGAAGATGTCGTCGTCAGCGGTCATGAGGAAGCGGGCGTGTGGGCAGCGGCTGTGCATCCAGTGGAACTGCATGATCAGCTTCAGGGTCAGGTTGTGGAAGGAGTCTAAAAAGTCTTGCTGGATCAAGTCGCCGTGGAGACGATTCTCCTGGATGAGCTGATCCTGAAAACCAACGCCACTCCTCTTGCTCCACAGAGGCTCCGTCTCCTTGGTCTGAACTGCTCCCAGAACGAACACCACCTTGACCGTCACCCCCAGGGTATTTTGGATGTAGGTCTCGTTCCCCCAGGTGGACCTGATGGCCGTTCGCCTTTCAATGTTCTCTGGCGACGTTTTGACAAAGAGGAGGAGGAGAACATCTTTCCCGACGCATTTATTGGGGTGGTCCATAAGGTACTGGAAGTTGCTGAACATTCTGGCTTGCTTTCGGGGGATGGTGAGGCTCTTGTTGATGTAGGTGAACCGGTTGACCAGGTAGCGATAGGAATAGGATTTGACGTGGCTGACGACGCCGTTGTCCAGCTGCTGCCAGCAGACCATCACCACAGAGAGCACAAGGCAGGTGGTCATCACCTGCACCAACTGGCATTTTCGAACACGGCGGAAATTCAGAAACATCCTGGAATGGGATCAACTAGTGGCTGCGGTCCCTGTCTGAGAGGAGGCGGCAGCGGAGCAGGTGTTGGTGCGTTCAGGGGGGGTAAGGTAATGGAGGTCGACAGTGTTGTTTGATTGCCTCAGAGCATCACTTGCTTGGTATTCCATCCTAGGCTCTCCAACATTCAGCAGGAGGCAGAGGCAGGGGTGAGACTCAGTGGGGGCTGCTGGGAAGTGTGATCCATCGGGGTGGGGGGTGGGGGGAGAAAGGCACTCAGTCACTCAGCAGCAGATGACTCATTATTCGCCCACTTAATTTTTGGTTCTGCAAAGAGAGAGAGCGCATTTATAGTTTAATAAATATAAATTAATAATAATTTATATTATATATAAATTAAATATAAATTAAACTAAATATAGTTTAATTTAGAAAAAATCTGTGCAAGGTGATTATAGGCAACTAGAACCACATTTAAAAACAACAACTAGATGTGAAAAATCATTTTAGTTAACTAAAATAAAAGTCCACTCTGGAAACTAACTGAAAATAAACTGAACTCAAAACTAAAATTTTAAATGAAATAAAAACTAATCAGAAAATGCAAAACTGTAATAAGGCTGCTTCCGTGCATTTCAAAAGGAGGAAACGGAAACATTCAAAAGGCATACCGTCCTTCTTGGCGGCAAAGCATGGCAGATGCATCTCTCGTGTCAAATTCAAATTTCGCAAACATACTTTTTGCCCGCCATCACCCCGTGAACCCCACATGTACACGTCCCAGAGTCGCACCATTAGCTGAAGAGCACATTGTTTGTGGTCGATGGGAGATGGTGGTGTTGGTGGGGAATCTGGGGGTCATGGTGTGAGCGAAAAGAATGCAAAAGCCAACGCAGCAAATGTTGCAATACAAGCTTGTCCATAATGGAGGGGTTTACTGTGCAGACCCAGTGAAATCGCTGAGAGTCATGGAAAACACTCTGATACAATGGACGGTGTCAGAATAGCTCAGCAGCACAATACAGGACGAGAGTAACTCGCTTCCGTCAAGGCCTAGGCTAAAACCGGGGG